TATAAGGTAACATTAATATCACTAATGACAGTTAAAGCTTAGGTGGATTTTTATATCAGAATCTTATCTTTGTGAAAAATGTGCAGATAGAGGGTATTATTGAATATAAGCCCTCGATGTTTAAAATATATAAAAATTTTATTTCAACGTATACAAAAAGTAAATCCACCTGCGTTACAGCACGGTGGGAGACGGGGAAGGGGGGGAGAGCCGGGGGCCGCGGCGTAGCGTGACGTGGTGTGCGCGCCGGTCGCGCGTGTTGGCGCGCCAACGCGGGCCGCCGCGAAGCTAAGCAAATTTAATGTTTGAAAGAGAAATAATGTCAATTGATTTTATTTCGTTTTTAAAAAGGTAATAATGTCAATTGCCTTTATTTCGCACCAGGGTGGGAAATAAAGTCAATTGACCTTATTTCCGTTGATCTTATTACCTGTCACCATTTCAACCACGCTACTGAGCGGATTTAGACAAGATTTTTTATGTATATAATAAACGAAGTACATGATGACATATGATTTCTTTCTCCAAATACGTAAATGTACATACATATGCATACATTCAGCGCGTGGCGAAGCCTCGCGCATCCGTGGCCGGCTAGTACCGTATAAATCTAAATTTCAGACTTTGTACAAAAATTTTAAAAATTCCACTAACTTTTCATCCCAATTCTATACATTTTAATTTTAATTTCTAGAATAATTTTTGGTATGCAGTTTAATAGCTTATAACCATGCATTCAAAAGAGTATCGTAGCATGCGTTTATGGATAGCCTTTCAGTTATTGAAAATACTAAAGATATATTTTAAGCAAATTGGAAATCAAGAAGAGGGCGGTTAAACGGAAAAGTTCTGCTAAGCGAAAATTCAGCAAAAATTGAAATTTTCGTACAAAACTCATTTTGTGAAGTAGTATTTTGGCGAAATAGTGCATGTAAGCGAAAAGTGCACCTAAGCGAATAAGCAGCTAAATGGAATATACTGTATCGATAAAGATCGCTTTGATCATTTGTGTAATTTAAATTCAATTGCATTTATTCATTTTTATGCACATGCACAAATTAAATAGCAACATTTTTACGAGCTCGCTCCTTTCTGAAAACAAATCATACTACCAATATATGAGAATCAGGTTTAATTCCGGGTCCAATCAACATCCAAAAAAAATATGTCTAAAACCCTCACCGCTGTCTTTGCTAAACTAAAAGAAATGGAGGGGAAATTCCAGCAGCAAACCGACCGTCTTATGTCAGTAGTCGAGAGTGTCTCTCAGAAGCTGATTGAACTGGAACAAAATTTAACAAAACGCATCGATGAGGAGATTGCTGCGCTGTCTAACAAAGTAGCTGAGACGACTGCATGCATTGCTTCGTTGGAGGCGAATATGAAAAAAGCAGAGTCGGATATTGAGAGCTTGCAATTACAACTAGCAAGTGCGCTACAAAACAAACCCGCTCCGGACCTCGCTGCTGATGCTGTTGCGTTTGGGATACCGTTTACAAAAGGGGAGAATCTGAAGAGTATATACAACCAAGTTTGTGTCTCAATCGACTTTCTATCTCCTCAAATTCGCGATATATTTCGAACGAAGTCCTCCTCCCCCAGCCGCAACAGCGCTATTGTGATAAAATTTCACTCACCGCTTGATCGTAATCGCACTCTACGTGCCTTTGGCGAGTACCGTAGACGAGTTAAATCCGCGGTCCCCCTTATGCCTATTGGTTTTGATGGTACATTCCATATTTTTGAGAGTCTCACTCCAGAGAATCGGCGCATACTGCAAGAGGCCATTAGAATGCGAAGAGAAGGTAAACTCTCGTCTGTACGCACAGTCCGTGGCTATGTACATGTTCAGAAAGAGAAGGGGAAAAATAATTTGGCGACAAAGATTATGTGTAAAGAGGACTTGGCGCAGTTTCACTAGTTGCCGCTTGTTATTGTTATTATTTTTCAACCACGTATATTTTGTTAATATTGTTAAGATAGCGCACCTCTTCTTATGCTGTTTGTTTTTGTCTAACTTCGCTGTCTGTTATTGTTGTCCTAAAGTTGCTCACTTTATTTTCCATTATGAACGTAAGCAACAGCGAATCGACTAGCATTGATGACTGTAGTCTTGCTATGTTAAATGTGTTATGCCGACGCCAGAGCGGATTTAATATAGTGCACTTTAATGCGCGCAGCCTAAATCCGGAAAAAATGGATGTGGTTAGAAATACTTTTGAATTTTCATCCGTAGACATAATCTGCGTTTCTGAGACCTGGTTCAAAACTGATATTAGTGACTCCCACTATGATATTAAAAATTATAAACTTTTCCGGTCTGACAGAAATGGAAAAAAGGGTGGGGGGTAGCGATATATTGTAAAAAATACTTGAATACGAAGCTGATTCCTCAATCAATCGATGGTAATACTGAATACTTGCTTGTTGAGCTGTCTAACTCTGTATGTAAAGTACTTTTGTCATGTGTTTACAATCCTAATAAATGTTGTAGAGTTTGTGATTATTTTATTATTTTCGGTCCCCTCTAGCTGTTGATTATGAAAATATTATTGTTTGTGGAGACTTCAATGTTAATTTGCTTAGTCAAGATTCCTACAGTTCTCGATTAAGAGATGTCGTCGCTACTGCTGGATTATCGTTTGTTAATACATCTATACCTACAAGGTATGGAAATAACAGTTGTCCAAGTCTGCTTGATTATTTTATTGTGTCTGACCCTCAAAGTGTGCTAAAATTTGATCAGCTGTCCTTTATATCAGACTATGATCTCATTTTCTATTCTTTTGATTTTAATCTTAATTCTGACCGTACTAGCTTAGTAAACAGCCATATCTCATTTGACTACCGTTTTCTAAACGTTGATAATCTCTTAACTGACCTCTCACACATTAATTGGTCTATGTGCTGGGGACTTTGCACGGTGAATGAGAAGCTTGCCTTTTTGAATGACAACGTTCTGAGTGCTCTTAGAGCTCATGTCCCGCTACGCACTTTTGAGAACAGATCCTCATCGTGCCCTTGGTTCAACTCTGCGGTCCAAACTATGATCAGAAAGCGTAATAAGGCTTATTCTCGGTGGAAAAAGAACCGTTCAGATGCAAATTGGTCAGTTAGGAATGAAGCCACTTCAGTAATTAAACGTGAAAAGCGCAGGTTCTTTGGAAAAAAGTTGGATCCCTCACTCCCCAATAATATCCTGTGGCGAAACCTAAAAAATCTCCGAGTACATGTCAGTAACAGCACTAGCTGCCTACTCGAGCCTGAAACTCTAAATAACTTCTTTGTGAGCCGTGCGTCTTCCCCTTGCTTACTCGCCCCAAACATTTCATTTTCGTGTCCTCGTCCTTCTGTTGGTCAAATGTTTGAATTTGGTGCTGTGGCTGAGTGTGATGTAGTAAGGTGTATCAATAAAATACGGTCCAATGCAATAGGCGAAGACGGCATTCCAATACGATTTATTAAAATAATTTTACCGCTTATTTTACCTACCTTGACTCATATTGTCAATCATTGCTTCACCACCTCTTGTTTCCCTGACGCATGGAAGGTTACAACTGTGATTCCGGTAGCTAAAAATAAATTTGCATGTAGTCCTTGTGATTTTCGTCCTATTAGTATCTTGCCTGTCTTGTCTAAAGTACTTGAGTCTTTGATGTCTGAACAAATATATGTCCATCTTGAGAAATTTAGGTTATTTCGCTTTTGAAAAGGTAATAATGTCAATTGACTTTATTTCGCACCAGGGTGGGAAATAAAGTCAATTGACCTTATTTCCATTGACCTTGTTACCTGTCACCAAAAAAAATAAGATACCAAATAAAAGTGCATGGCCTTCGCATGTACAAAAACTTTAAGTTTTTTCAGTAGGATTGCCACCTATTTAAAATTACTATCTTCTATACATAGTATAAAGAAAAGGCGAGATATTTCAACCGGTGACAGGTAATAAGGTCAATGGAAATAAGGTCAATTGACTTTATTTCCCACCCTGGGCGAAATAAAGTCAATTGACATTATTACCTTTTCAAAAGCGAAATAAAGTCAACAAAAATTTGGAAATAACGTCATTGATGCTATTTCTTCATTCAAATGGAAATAGCGTCAACAATACTTAAAGTATGTCGATTCATAGAAAAAAATGTTGTTCTTACAATAAACATTGCGTTGTTTTTTAATAGATGAAAAAGGTTATTGCCAAATACTCAGTGTTGTGATATTAATCCACACACAATCATGAACTACCACCAATTGATTTTATTAAAAAAAATTAAATTACGAATATGTAAAAAGACGATGCGAAAAACTAAACACCTGCGCACAGCTGGAATACGAGAAATATTTGAAGAAAGAGTGTAGAAATGATCCATAACTTGCGACTTGCGTTTCCACAAAAATAAAGCGAACACTATTAAATTGATGAAACAGTC